ACGGGGCAAGAAGGGGATGGGATTTTCACTAATAGAGAAGAAGAATATAAACTGAGATTATACAAATCACTCGAACTCACCAATTAATCTCACCAACAAATCTCTAATTCTCTCCAAATAAAACCCTAACCAATAGCTCAGAAAATACTTCTTTTTTGTGCTGCAAATATCCCCAATCCACTGCTCAATTCTCTCTTCCAATCGTTTCATATATATAGAAATCCTAAAACCAAAAATATACTAGAAATTCTAAAACAAAAAACAAAACAGATTAGGAATCCAAATAACCTGTTACTAAAACAGATTTGAAATCCTGTTACCAAAACATATTAGGAAACGTATTAGGAACATGCTATCCAGCAGTAGCAGCATTGAGTAATTTCCAATATTGATAGTTTTATGAATACTAAAATTTAGGAATATATAATTTTGCAAATATGAGTGATTTAAAAGTTATATGTGGAGGGGGGAACCCCCTCTAAAGCCAATAATAGATGATTGTCATGTGGGAAGCAAAGGCATGTGAGAGTGGAATTAGTGAGTGAGCCATGGCCATGAGAGAGAGAAGGGCCAAAGGTCTTCTCTCCTTATAGACTTTGTTGAGTATGTTAGGCTGTAAGGGGGGGCCTTTGCTTACTTTCGAGTGCAGCCTTTCCAGCAAATCCCCCTACATCGTCAAAGTGAAGTTTCACATGCATGACACGTGCCATGCATGCTCAAAGTTCAACTGCAGTGAGGCTTTAATTAGATGGGCTTTGTATGAATCTTTTAATTCAATATTGATTGAAGAGGGATATATCGACCATAATATTTTACCTATTGTCTAACATAGGATCCTCTCTGGTCCCCTCTCAAGGGGCCCTTAATTGTGTTCCACCTCTGTCAGTGTTTATCCGTTTGTTATACAAATTTTTGTTAACATGATCAAAATATGATTCTCCTTTTCATCTTTGTCATAGCTAGATTGACCGTTTCTATATTGTACTTAGTTAATTCCACCAAGAGGGCCAATACCTGGACTCACCGGACAATTTTTTTTAATTTAAATCCGACATAGAACTTCGTAAGTTCAAATATAAATTACTTTGATACCATGTCAAAGGTTCTTAATTATTAGTACTGCTTCAAAATTCTGAATTGTGATAAATTTAAGGCTTCCTCGCTAAAAGTTTTTGTTTTTACGAGGAACCATTTCCCCGTTAAAAAGAACCTATTAGCAAGGAAATTATAGTTTCCTCACTATTAATTTGGCAGAAAAATTTGCAACACCCGCCAAATTCATTAACGACAAATTAAATATTCCCTCGCTAAAATTTTTGTTTTACGAGGAACTGTTTCCTCGTTAAAAAAACCAATTAGCAAGGAAATAATAGTTTCCTCATTATTAGTTTGGCGGAAAAATATGCAAAATCCGCCAATTTTAATAGCAACAAATTTAAGGCTTCCTCGCTAAAAGTTTTAATTTAACGAGGAACCATTTTGTCGTCAAAAAGAACCTATTAGCGAGGAAATTATAGTTTCCTCATTATTAATTTGGTGAAATAATGTGCAACACCCGCCAAATTCATTGACGACAAATTGAATGTTTCCTCACTAATTTTTTTTACAAAGAATCCTTTCCTCGTTAAAAGAATCAATTAGTGAGGAAATAATAGTTTCCACATCACTACTTTGGTGAAAAAATGTGCAAAACCCGCCAAATTCAATGGCGACAAATTTAAGGCTTCCTCGCTAAAAGATTTTGTTTTGCGAGAAATCATTTCCTTGTTAAAAAACCAATCAGCGAGGAAATAATAATATCCTCATTATTTGTTGGCGAAAATTTTCGTGGGGATTTGGGTAAAAAGTAGGCGGGTACTCAAAGAAAAGAGCGGGCCTCTAATATCAATGACCTAACAAATGTCTATATACAAGTCAACAATCATAGGCCAATTTAGATTCTTTTTTGAATAAATGTCTAGCACGAGGTAAAGCTCCAGTATGGATAGAAATAAGGATTTGGTTTGTCTGGTTGATGATACACATTTATAGAGTGGATATTCCAAATTGATTCCCACTCCCTTGGGTATGGACATGGTATGCCGGACCTTTTCACTTCTTGAGCATTCATCAACGCGTTGATTTTGCTCTCCAAGTCCTTCATCTTCTTGTCTTCACTCGTACTTGTCTTCGAGTGGCTTTGGGGAGAGGTAACGTGGTCCTCTTTTGCATTATCATCTACGGGACCGCTTCCATTGTCGTTGTTGACAAGAGGGATATTCATGTTGACATTATTCTCTTCCCGTTCATTCTCATCTTGATTCAGATTATTGCGACGACTGGGTTCTCCTTGGTGAGTTGTCAGAGCCGCGATTTGCTGGTCATGCATCTCTCTCATCTGTTGCATGGCCATCTCCATCTCGAATTTGAAAGCTTCCTTCTGCTTAGTCAGGGCATCTTCAAGCATCTTGGTTACTTGTTCGGCGCTGATCATGAGTGACTCGTAAGGTTGCCCCGCACTAGACGCCGTGTCATCGGATGCTATAGCCGAGTAGGAGTCTGAACCATCATCTGACGCCTCCTCTTCCGAAGGAAGTCCTTTTTGCATCCTTTGGTAGTTCTTTTGCCTATTGATCCCTGACCGCAATCGAGTCATGCGCTGGGACGCTTCGGCAAGTTGATCTGAGCTAAAGGGTCGCGTCGATCTGCCTCTGCCGGTCATATTAACGGATACTTCTAGGTGTTCGTCCTCTTGGCGAACGAACTCCTTCTCACAAAAATGCCTTGGCTTGGAAATCCTCTCGAATACCGAGACTCTCTTTGGGGTCTTAGAACAGCAGCATTCTGATAACATCGCCCTGATGATGTTGGCACACGGACAGTGGGGTTCCGTGTCTCGAGCATCTCTCTTCCGAGACTTATTCATACCCCCAGCTCTATAGTACAACTCATCAGTTTGATAACTGGAGCAACCCATAGAGTGTTGGCATGACTTCCCAGGCTTGGGGGGATTAGCACGACCCCCAGTCGGGTTTATCATTTGGGGACCTTTCAACGGACCCAATCGCTCCTTGATAGGTGCTTTACCTCGATTCCCTGGTAAGGGACCGAGGCGACCTTTCAAAGGAACTCTGGATGTTGAAGGATCTGTGTTCTTACCTGACTCCGCCGGAGGTGCGGGGGCAAGGGGAACGGGATCTGGATTTGATGAAGGTTGGACAGCAACATCGTCCGCTCTTGTCTTAGGCGCTGGCTTTGCCTTTAGCACCCACACCTGCTTGAGTTTTGACGGATTCTTGACCGTCTCTTCTTTCTGCATCTCCTCTGCTTTCTGCAGAAGGGCTCGGGCATGCGCAAGCAATGCGTGGCGCTTCTTGATTCGCTCTTCGAGGGTTGAGCGAGTCCTCGTGACACGAACCCAATCGTTCGTTTCTGCCTTGGAGGAGGAGTTGGTTATGCGCCGTTGTTGCTCTTGGTGCTGTCTGGACTTGAGATCTTCATTGTAGCGGATCCCGTCCATCGATTCTGCGGCCTTGACCAATTGTCGTGCAAGGCGTTGGCGCCGTCTTTGGCGCGCCCTCTTTGACGGAGCTGGAGCAACTTCAGCAGTCGCCTTTGTGGCAGGAGGGAGATCTGGATTTGCAGCCT